GATCAAAACCCTGCATGAGTCTACTTCCTCCTTAGCAGCTGATACACACTCCTTCATGAAACACTAGTTTCCAGTTTTCACAACAGCTCCTAAACTACAGGCATATTTTGCTGACTAGAACATTTTCTTCCAAGTTCTAAGAAACCACACTAAAAGTCTACGCAGTCCAGGGAAAATCCACATGGTTGACAAGCGACACTGGAAGTGCTAGCAAGCTGCATGCAGCTCATGTGGCAAGGTTTGACCTCTCCTGTAACAACCGCACAAATGATGGTATCCGCAAGCCAATCATATGACTTCTCAGTGGGCTTTTGCTTGTTACTCTGTATAGTAAGCACCTTTAGCTCAGAGTTTCTCGTGAAACTCCCATATGCTTAAGAAAGAAAGCAGAGAGACATCAGTCACAAAGTTTCAAGAGCAAACTTTGGTCTGGTTCTTTAAGTAAGATGAAGTCTTAGTCTGGCATGCTTCTGCATCCCTCTCCCCTGCAAGTCATGGTATTTTTTGCTGTTGTGCATTTCAGCAATGTTATTCAAACAACAGTTGACTTGAACATGCTTAAACACCAGAGTCCATGGAAAACGCCTTCAAGAGCATATCTTCAGGTAAACTGGGAATTGTTTCTTCAATACCTAAGGCAACTGACAGCTTGGCTTTTTAACTGCTGAATGTACGACAGGGCTGCGCTCCCCCACACCCTACCACATTGACAGTGCTGTTGTGAAGCCAGTCAGAAGTTTCCTATAAAACTACGTTCGTCCTTCAGCAACTGACTATAGCCTGGCATGACAAAGAAACAAAGAAGTCTCTGAGCTTGCATGCATCCTATATGCAGTTCTGGGAAAATGAACTTTAGCTTGAAGGAAAAAAAACCACACAGTAATTGCCTCTGTGACGGCAGTACTAGCCAAATTAAAACAGACTGAAAAGAGCACTATGCTTGGCATTAGCTCCAGAAACACCCGGATTTTCTGTGCTGCACAACACATTCGCTATGGAGCGCATCACCCTTTCTTAACAGCGCTTTGGTTCTCCCGCTAAAAGGAAAACACACACACAGCCCAGGAACGGGGAAATAGCCACTTCTCTGCATCTTACGGGCGATCAGCAAGCCAGGCGCACAGAGC